GCGTATTCTCTTAGCTACTTCCTGCTGAAAAGGGACGCTGTGGGTTTCAGGGTGAAGATCTTCTCTCACTACTCTAAAGGGCCCCTTTTGCAATAGGAAGGCACTCACTTCCTAAACAACATGCCTCTGGAAACTATGAACTTTGATAAATGAGCAGTCATTATTCATACATGTTCCAAGGCTTCTAACTATACTAGTATTCTTTTGCTGTCCACTAGTTGCCATCTCCACACATTTATCTATTACAAAATTCATAAAGGGATCAAATCTGTGTAGTACTCCTGTGTGAGGTCGCACATTCTCTTTGGACAAAGCATTGAGTCTTTGAAATAGGCAAAAAGAGCAAAACTCACCCGCCAGAGTTGAAAAAAATTTATGGATAAGAAGTTATCATTGGAATGAAATGGTGGCAGATGTGATTTGCAGTTTTTTTGTTACATGTTGTAAGCCAAAACCAAGCCCATAACCTTGAAGTTGATTCCAACTGACAGTGACCTTCCATTACATTCTCATGATTTTAAATCCTCCTAAGAAGTGACTACTCATCTCCCTGAGCAATTGGTGAATTCAGATTGATGGTCTTTCAGATAATGGCCCAACATATTATATACTGAACCACCAGGACCCTTTGATTATATGCTGAACATTATTTTAGTCCTAGAATAAAACAAGTAGTGATTAGTCCAACAACAGTTTTTCCTCGTGTAGAGTCTTTATTCTGGTGAAATTAAGGAGTCTAAGTCATTGGCATCTTATTATATTAGACTTCCATAATAGATTAGATTTCTGAAAAACAAGTAAATGTAATTAATTGATTTATTAAGTTAGGTTTATATTTAAAGAAATTCTGTGATTATATTTAAATAATTATTAGTGGTAGTATTAATACTGTTGCCATTGCTATATTTGTAAAGGTTCTGTGGTGCATTTTATGGTTTTGTTGTGGTGTAGTTTGAGTTCACATATTTATAAAAATTTTGATAGTTTTTCCTGATTATATTAGCTTCTGTTCTGTGGTTCTTGGTAAAAATTTAAGTCTGTAGAACTTATTGTTCTCTTCTTCCCTTCCCCTCTTCCTACCCTTTTTCTCTTCTTCCCACCTCTAAAATACCAGAAATATTTTTATTTTGAACTAACTTCTTTGACCTAAGTTCTTAAAATTACGTGACAATTAAAAATTCTTCATATTTTCCACTTTCCAATTCTCTTTGGCAAAGCTGCTTACCTTTTGCAAAGTAGTAGTTCCTTTGATAATTTTTTGGGGTAACTGAGATTCCTCTGAGTTGTAGTGGCGTTTAATCTTCACAGTCCATTCCTAGTAATGTGATTGCTTTGTAAAAGACAGCTCAGTTTAGGGAAGAATTTTCATTACTTTCCTGATCCTACTCACCCTTAATTTAGGGATCCAAAGTATATAGATTTTAAGATTATTATTTGACATCCTTGATTGAGATAGAATTAAAGAAATGGCAGGAATGGGATTAAAGATGGAAGAATTGCAATGGCCTAATAAGTAGTTACTGGTCTACAGCTACACCGTCCTGAACACGCCTGAGCTCATCTACAATGGTTATTTCTGTTTTCTGATATTTCTAATTATTCTTCTATATTATTAATATTATCTTTAAAATTAAATGTTTTTGCATGTAGTTTGTTACCCATCATTTTCTGAAAAGTCTTTCCTATGATTTTAAATGTTTTCAAGTACTTTATGGTGTATTCTGAAACAAACCTTAACAGTTCATTGACTTGTGCTTGTTTCGGCAGCACATATACTAAAATTGGAATGATACAGAGACGATTAGCCTGACCCCTGCACAAGGATGTCACGCAAATTCGTGAAGCGTTCCATATTTAATAAAAAGGAAATAATACATTGACTGTAATACTCAGACTTGAGATGTAGATTGTAATAATAGTTCATACTGAAGACTCCATCATAAAATAATATTAATAGTCCATGTCAGTTGATTTATAACCATAGTAAGCTTACTGGACTAAGCTTCAAATGAGAATTTGACTCATTTGAATTTTGTAACTTATATGTTATTTGTGAGAGGTAAATATCTGTAGTTAATATGAATGTGGTTTTTTTTATGTTATTTTTTGCCTTACATTATTAATATATTAAATTTGAAATGGAAGAATTTATTTTGTTTCTGTTCTTAGCTGTAGCACCAGTTGTTCCTGATTTAAGTAGTGACATTGATACAAGTAACTTTGATGATTTGGAAGAAGACAAGGGAGATGAAGAAACATTTCCTATCCCTAAAGCTTTTGTTGGCAATCAGCTTCCTTTTGTAGGATTTACATATTACAGCAATCGCAGGTAAGTATACCAAATGGTGGCTTTTTAGATAGGTGCTGATTTTATTCTATTCATATTCTTCAAAATTCAGAATCACTTTTATCAGTTGGTTTCTGCTTACACCAATCCTCCACTAGCTTATAAGACTCTACAGAAGAAGGAGTAGCATCCACTTCCTAAACAACATACCTTCAGACACTCTATACAATTTGATAAATTTCAGTAGTTATAGAAAGGCTTTGGACCTTTTATTCATAGGGTCGATATGAATCTTGCTTGACTCGAAGGCAAACAACAACAAGAACAAAACGCAGCATGCCTCCTTATCCCTTGGAGCTGTTGGTGGATTCAAACAGCCTGAGATATGCAGGCTTTTGGGCTAACAGTGCAGTTCCCTGTGGACTAAGCCACCAGATAGCTAAAATGGATTTATGACATATAAAAAGACACATTTTATTATACTGTACTATTATACTGTTTCCAGTCTTCCTTTTGTTTTCCCCATTTATCCATGTTCCAGGATACTAACTTTTATAATTCTTTCCTGAATGATGTATGATGTATCTTGATATTACATAGTACTTCAGAAGGCTCTACTAATTGTGGTATTTTCATTTTCTTGATTTTTACAAAAAGAATTCATTTGTAATACATTTTGAAACAACATACAGATTTCCCCATATTATCAGTAATATATTGATTGACAATGCCAAAACCAAATCCACTGCCATCAAATTGACTCTTGACTCATAGCAACTCCATAGGAGAAAGTAGAACTGCACCATGGAGTCCAAGGCTCTGAGTCTATATGAAAGGTGACTGCCATACATTGCTTCCATAGAATCACTGGTGGGCTTGATCTTTTTTTTTCTCTTTTTTTACCAATCTTTTGATAGTAGTTGAGTACCACTGTGCCATTAGGACTTCTGATAGTACCAAAGACTTAAAATTTTTAGCTCTGCAAAAACTGTAATTTCTCCCAAAACTGCTTAATGAATTTACCATATCTTGTTGTTGTTGTTGTTGTTGTTATGTGCCATCAAGTCACCGGTGACTCATAGTGAACCTATGTACATTAGCTCTGAAAGCTTCCCTATCCTGAGCCAATCTCATTGTCTCTGACAGACCTAATCCCATTGCTCCAGTCACTGAGTCAGTACATCTCATCCTGGATCTTCCTTTCCTGTGCTGTCCCTCTACCCTTCCAAATATGTCCCTCTCTAGAGTATGTGATAGGTAGCCTCAAATTCCTTGCCGCCAGGGACAGTGTTTTCAGCCTCTCCAGGACCAACCTGTTTGTTGTCCTTGCATGATACCTTCAGCTCTCTTCTCCAATGCTACAACTCAAAGGCTTCAATTCTTCTTCTGTCATCCATAGTTAGTGTCTATCTCTCTGATGAGTAGTAAGTAATTGCGAAGACCATGACCTGGATCAGGTGGACTTTTAATCTCCAGACTGACATCATTATTCTTCAGTACTCTAGAGAGGTCCCTAACAATAGACTTTCCCAGTGCAATTAGTCTTTAGACTTCTTGACTGCTGGTTCCAAGAGTGTTGATTTTGGAACCAAGCAAGCTGAAATTATCAAAAAACTGACTCTTCTCTGTCCATCATGAAGCTGCCAATTCAGTGGCAATTCTCAGTGGTGATAATTTTTGTTTTCTTGGTGTTGAACTTCAATCCATATCGAAGACTACAGTACTGACCTTCTGCAGCACACGCCTCATGTCTTCCTCAGTTTCAGCAAGCAAGATGTGAAGATGTGTCATCTGCGTAATGCACGTTGTTGATGAATCTTCCTCCAATCCTGATGGCACAGTCCTACTCATAAAAGTCCAGCCTCCTGAATGGTCTTTTCTGCATATAGACTGAAAAAGTATGGAGATAGGATGCATTCCTTATGCACACCTTTCCTGTTCCTGAACTCGTATAATATTACCTGGTTTGTGATAGCAAGTAACTGCTACCCTTTCCTCAAAAATAAGTTGATGCTAATAATGATAATTGTCTCCAAGAATTGTGAGAGTGGAATAAAGGAAAACAGAACTATACTTGGTATGGGCATGTTTGGGTTAAATGCTTGACAACTAGCTGACGAGTTGGTTGGTTTCTACCCAAAGTTGAGCCTGACAGTTTGCTTCCAAAAACTGCAGAATCATCTGGACAAGTTCTAGTCAGCACACATGGGTTGGCATGAATCGAAGTTAGCTCAGTGGCAGCTAACAACTAAAATCAACAATGTTAAGTGCCATCAAGTTGAGTATGTCTCATAACAACTCGTTCTATGAATGTTGTTGTTGTTATGTGCCGTCGAGTCGTTTGCGACTCATAGCGATCCTATGTACAACAGCCCTAAACCGTGCTCTACCCTGTGCCAATCTCATTGCCTCTGACAAACCCATCCCAATTACCCCAGTCACTGAATCAATCCACCTCATAGAGGGTTTTCCCCTCCTGCGCTGTCCCTCTACTCTACCCAGCATAATGTCCCTCTCTAAAGACCTGCCTCTCCTTACAACATGTCCAAAGTATGTCAGACGAACCCCAGAATCCTTGCCTCCAAGGAGCAGCCTGGGTTAATCCTCTCTAGGATGAATCTGTTTTTCTTTTCAGTCCATGGTACATTCAATACTCTTCTCCAGCACCACAGCTCAAAGGCGTCAATTCTCCTTCCATCCTCCCTAGTCATTGTCCAACTCTCTGATGCATAACAAGTGATTGCAAAAATCATGGCCTGCATCAGGCGGACCTTAGTCTCCAGAGAGACACTGTTGCTCTTCAGTATTTTGGAGAGGTCCCTAACAGCAGACTTTCACATCGCAATACGTTTTTTGATTTACTGGCTACTGGTGCCAAGAATGTTGGCCGTGGAGCCAAGCAAACTGAAGCTGTGAGCAATCTCAATCTCTTCGCCATCCATCCTGATGCTGCCGATTGGTCGCATGGTGAGAATATTTGTCTTCGTAACATTGAGCCTCAGTCCATATTGAAGGCTGCAGTCCTTGACCCTCTGCAGTAAGTGCAAGAGGTCCTCCTCAGTTTCAGCGAGCCAGGTTGTGTCATCTGCATAACGCAGATTGTTGATAGATCGTCCACCAATCCTGACACCACACCTCTCCTCATAGAGCCCCGCCTCTCGGATAATCTGCTCTGCATACAGGTTGAAAAGGTATGGAGACAGGACACATCCCTGACGTACACCCTTCCCAATTTTGAACCATGCAGTCTTGCCCTGCTCTGTTCTGATGACTGCCTCTTGGTCCAAGTATAGGTTTCCCATTAGCACGATTAAATGTTCTGGGATTCCCATTCTTCTCAGAGTCTGCCCTATCCTGTGCATCCTTATCATCTGTTGGCACACTAGATAGAGCCCATTAGCTAGGGTTTTACCAATTGTTCTTGACAAACAACAAAAAAAACTCATTGTCATTGGTTCAGAGCAACTCATTGCTGACCTTCCAGTGGTTTTTACCAAGACTGTAAATTAATGTGAAAAGATTGCTCATCTTTCTCCCACAGGATCTGTAATGTGAGCCATAATACATTCTGGATAACATTGAGAAAAATGGACATTGCAGAACTTGTACATAGACCAAGATTTGTTTATTGGAACAGAATCAGTGACTACTTCATGGTTTAAAATTAACTAAGGAGTGTCTCAACATTGTATTTTTTTTTCCCATACCTCCTCGGTCTGTATACTGAATAAACAGTTCAGAAAATTGAGCTGTATGAAGAAAAAGGTGCCATCGGGATTGGAGGAAGATTCATCAACAATCTGGATTGTGCACCACCTTGCTTGCAGAAAGTGAGAAAAACTTGACATATTTGCTGTAGAAGATCAAAAGCTTCAATCATCAATATGAGTTACACCCTATCATCAAGAAAACAAAAAATTTCACAGCTCAGCCAATAAGAAATATGATAGATGGAGAAAAGATTGAAGTTGTTAGCAATTTCATTTTACTTGGATCTCAGATCAGATTAGTAGGAGCAGACTTAAAATCAAAGGGTATATGTTTTATTCGAACAGTCTGCTTGTGTGAACCTCTTTAAAAGTGCTATGGAACAGCCTGAAGAAACCATAACTTCCACCCAAGCATGCACACCCATGTTTATTGCTTTGTTCGTGATAGCAAAGAGCTGGAAACAACCCAAGTACCCATCAACAAACGAATGGATAGAGAAGCTGTGGTATATCCACACAATGGAATACTATGCAGCATTGGAAAAACAAAGAACTCATGAAATATGCAAAATGAATGACCCTGAAGGACATTATGTTGAATGAAATATCTCAGTCACAAAAGGACAAATATTGCATAGGGCCACTCTTGTAAAATGGGGCTGACATCAGGGGTGAGAGCTATATTCTTGTCATTACAAAAGTCTACAGTGAAGGCTGCATAGTGAAATGAACTTGGGAGGAGGGATTGAATAACAATGAAAGATTTTTTCTTTTCAAGGAGAGGAGTGATTTGGGAAAAGGGGTGGGCAGGGAGAAAAGTGCAACAATGAATGACTGGAAATACTCTCTAAACTTTTATTAAAATAAATCATTTTCTTTTAAAAAAAGTTCTATGAAACAAGGATATTGTTTGAAAAATTAAAGCTCAGGCCATGGAATTTTCATTTGTGTCGTGTGTGTGTGTGTGTGTGTGTGTGAGAGAGAGAGAGAAACTTGGACAATGAATAAGAATTGATGCCTTTGAATTGTGGTGTTGGGAAAAAGAGTACTGTGTATTCCACACGCTGCCAAAAGAATTAAAAAAAAATCCTTCTTGGAAGAAGTGCAACCAGGGTGCTTCTCAGAGGCAAAGATGGTGATACCTTAACTCAAATACTTTGGGCAAGTTGTCATCCGACACCAGTCCTTATAAGAAGATATTTCACTTGGAAAAATAGCAAGTGAATGAATTAGAGGAGGACCCTCAGTGAGGTAGGTTGTTACAGGCTGCAACAAGGGGCTTAAGCGTGGCAGAGAGACTACAGATGGCACAGGATAGGTTCCGATGTGTTGTTCATATGGTTGCTATGGTCATATTTGATTCAAGGGTACCTAACAACTGCCAAGTCACAATCCAAGTAAAATGCTAACATAATACATTGTGAACTCAGTGGCAGCGCACGCTTAGTATGTACATGTATGTAGAGGTCAGCATAATTCTTTATTCTCAATTCCTGAACTCCCAAATGCTCTGAAAAAAAAAGTTCTTAGTAATTTGATGATAAAGCCTCCTATAACTCATATAATTCATGACCTAAAACTTGGCTGAACTCATAAGACTTGATAGAGTTTTTGTTCCAGTCCATGGTCTTCATAATTACTTGCATAATTGCATAATTGCATAAATAATTACATCAGAGAGCTGGGTAATCACTAAGGATGATAGAAAAAGAATTGATGTGCCTTTGAGTTGTGGTGCTGGTCAAGAGTATTGAACATATCATTGATCACCAAGAAAACAAATAGCTCTATCTTGGAGAGGGTGAAACCAAGTTTCCCCTTGGAGGCTAGAATTTTGAAGTTTCATCTCACATACTTGGGCACTTGCCAGGAGAAGAACATCATGTTTGGAAGCGTGGAGGGACAGCACAGGAGAGAAAGACCTCAGATAAGATGGATTAATACAGTTAACAGTGGGAGTAGGTGTATCGGAGTCCATGAGATTGACTTAGGACACTGCTGGCTTCAGAGCTGTTGTCCATACTGTTACTGATTCGCAGGCAACTTGATGGCACATAACAACACCACTTTTAGGATAGGATAGGGTTCACTGGCTATGAGTTTTAGTCAATGGCACATAACAATTTGTTGTAAGAAAATAGTATGTATGATTACACAGTCATGCTCTAGACACAGCTTATTTAGTATTTTGTATTTTTATAATATTCTCCTAAAATATGTAATTATACAACTGTCCTCAATTTTCTAAAAATAGAGCTAATAAAATACTGAATATAAAATACTAGGCTTGTAGTAATTGTTAGTGGTTTGTTAAGGATATTTAAAGGGTATTTGTTTGTTTTATATTTAAACTTTTTTTCCCTCCCAGATACTTATCTTCAGCAACTCCTAATGATAACAGAGGTAGTTCCAATGTGGATAAAAACTTGGTAGGTCCTTTCTTATTGTTCATTTTGTTCTAATGTTTTTGCATATATGATATTGAATGTACTTTTTTTGTGTGTGAATGTATAGTCAGTGAAATTAAGTTTTTAAGGCAGTTTTATCTGCTCTGTCTTCTCCAGTCACATTTCCTGTCTGAATGTCAAATAATCCATCTAGAAGCCCTAAACTCTTGCTACACAAAATTGTAGTGATTGCCTTTTGGGAAAAAAAATCAATATATCAATAAAGATCATAAAAAGAAAACAGATGGCACATTCAGAAGATTTAAGCAAAGAGCATTCAGTTACATATTATTAACAAGAATTATCACCAGGTTTAGGAACCCTTAAAGGATGTCAAAGCACCCCAAAATAACAATGCAAGACCACTGTTTTTAGGATGAAGGTACAAGAAAGAAAGTCTTGTAACCACACCCCAGCAAAAGGCTGGAATATGGAAGAGGACCTGTGATTTATACCAGAGCTACTGCCAGACACAGTAAGACAAGAAGGATATAAGGTTAATAAGTGCCTATTTCTCCACGCTTCTGATTTCTGGTTTTTACAGCCTTTGATTGGGAAGATAATAGCCTAGATGATGCAGTTTGTGGATTTCAAGGTAAAGAATGAATCTTTAAGATTGAAAGGAAGAAAAGACTAAATGGAAAATGATCAGTCCAGCCAGCATAATCTAATTTGCTTACTAAAAAGTAATTACTAAAATGAGTAAATATCAGAGACTTATTACTTATATTTGAAAAGGAGGGTTTAGGGTTCAGACATACTCAAAATTAAAGCACTTTTGTTCTAGGCAGGGGAAGAATAAAGAACTGTTAGAACCTCACTTTTGTTGTATTCTATAAAATTGGAAATTCATTGGGCTTTTAAAAAAAATGCAGTACTCAGAGGAATCCTTTTTCTTTGAGCTGGTCTTGTTCGGTGGTTACAGTTGACTCTACCGGAAAGGTGAGGTGCTGGGACCTTCTCTAAGGTGCCGTGGAAGACAGACCTGATACTTTTCTGAAAGGGGACACAGCCCTCGAGGTCCCATGGAGTTGCTCTATGTTGGTTGCACACATGGGTTTACAATGAGTCAGAATCAACTCAGTTGCAACCCACAAGAAAACAACAGGGCTTGAAAATACGTTGTTGTTGTTGTTGTTGTTGTTGTTGTTACGTGCCGTCGAGTGAGAGAAAATATGTTAGGATTCCAAAAAATAATTAAAAAAATCGTGTTTTGAGTTGATCTTGTTTAGTAGTGATTGTCATAAATATCTGTCAGTGGCAACAACCTTATTTATCTGTTGCTCTAGTAAAATCATAAGAGAAGGAACATCAGAGTATCAGTTCAGTTCTGTTCACCCTGGAACTAGGTATAAAAGTCTGCTAATTTTCAGATCTTTGTTCAAAGTCTTCTAGCAGAGGTGTTAGTAACCAGCTGTGTACTACTAGCAAATACAGAATGATTTTTAATCCTTATTTTATTCTACTTCTACACTGCATTTGACACTGACTGGTCCCTCCTGCTTGGAACTTCAGGCTTTTTGGACCCTTTCTTCTTATTATTTCTCTTTTTTCTACCTTACCTGCTTGAATTTTTCAGTTGTCTTTGCTGTATCATCTTCTTTTGCTGCCTCAAATCTTAAATGTTTTCCAAACTTTGGATCTTTTTGCTGTCTGCTTGTTGTCTGTAGATAATCCTTGAAGGTTTAGCTTGCTCTGTTGGGTTCCAAACCTGATTCTTTAACTACTAGACTCATGTATAGTAGCTATTAAAAAAATTACGGTAATTTTGCAGACAATTACAGCGAAAAAGGGGCTAGAATTTTAAGCCAAATAATTATCCACTTAAGAGAGGCAAAATTATCAGCACAGATTTAATATTTTTTTAATTCTTTTTTAATATTTTTAGTAGAGTAAGTGTTTATTTTTATTTAAAGCAGGAAAGTTTGCAGAAAACAATCTACAAATTGGAAGAACAGCTACATAATGAAATGCAGTTAAAAGATGAAATGGAACAGAAGTGCAGGTGAGGCTATACTTTAATCATACGTTTTTAGATTTCAACTTGTATAACAAAAGCTTAATTTAAATCTTACCTCTCTAAACACAAAAATAACGCAGATTAAGGTGAGGATGTAAATGTTGCTGACGTTATACGTTTATGAAGAGTCCATTAGCTAGAATTGAAAATTAATATTTTTTTTTTGTTACTAGATAAAGGTATGTTTTTCCCTGAGTATTTTTTCCCTATAATTATATTTTATTAATTTTCATAAACATTTACAGAGATTTTGGGTTTCCATTCATTCATTGTTGCATTTCCCTGAGTATTGAATTTGCTTATTTACTTTGTGCCCAGTGGATGTCTTTTTTCCTTTCATTTTATGTAACTTACTAAAAAGGCTAGTTAGTTACATTACATGTGATATTTTTAAGATACAGAATATTGAATAACATTCACTAAACTTTTATGTAGTTATTTTAATAATTTATTTTATTGTTCTCTAGGACTGTTTTGGCTTTTTTTCCCCTCTATGGGTATAGTAAGAGCATATATATTCATGAACTTAGAATTATGAATATTATTTTAAATAACCTGGCTTCAGCCGAGTTACTTGTTAATTACAAATAATATCTCTTCATAACATATTTTTAATGGATATTATTATAAAAATGATATTTATACTTTTAATGGATATTATATAAAATGAAATAAAGATTACATAGAGGTTAAATACTCAATAAAAGAAATTAGAAAAGCTGGAAGTTTTGTTACTTTTGAGAAGAGGAAGCAAGTAAAATTCACATTTTCTATAATTTCTGATGGATTGTAAAGAGTTAATCATAGGGTATGATAGAAACTTTTTTAAAAACTCTTGAAGAAAACAGAGGCAATTAACAGATTTAAAACTTTGGATGGAAAGAATAGAAATAACAGCTGAAAATGAATAGATATTTTACAAATGTTACAAAGTTTCTACATCCAAAAATTAAAAGGCAAATTGTATGTTTCTAATAGTGATGTTGAGGAGTCATTTCCAGAAGAAAGTAAGCATAACCATGTTGTAGTTTTGTCTCTTCAAATGGGAACCAATCCATAGCTGATCCTCTGGTGGGTTTTGGAGTCAGTTAATTGCACGGGAGAAGATTGCCCAGCTTTCTCCTGTGGAGCACCTGATGGATTTGAACTGCGTGCCTTTGGAATGACAGCTCAGTTTCTTACCATTAGGTCACCAGAGCTCTCTATGAAATGTAATTAAAATGAGATGATGTTGATGATGTGTCAAGTATGACTCATAGCGTCTCTATCAGCAAAAAGATCTGAACCCTGATGATGTCCTTGGAAAAAGAAATCATGCTGGGAAAGGTGAAGAGTCAGTGAAAGAGAGGAAGACCCCATGGTGACTGTAGCAGTGGCCTCAACATTATTAGTGATGATGAGGCTGGCACCATATAGGGCAAGGTTCATAAGCCGTTGTTCATAGGGTTGCAGTGAGTCATAGTTAACTTTACAGCACCAAACAGCAACATAAAGCAATGTGACAATTAGAACAAGACATGGTTCCTGTCCATGTGGAACTTTTATTTTAGCAAGGAAGACAAGTAATTATAAATACAATTTGTGTTATGACAGAGAGTAAAATACTAAAGGAATACATAAAGGGATGCCTATAATATTGGACATATAAGGAGAATAGGGAGATAATTATGGTCCAAGAAATGAGTTTGTGATGACATTGAGGTTAGAGAGCTATGACTGGTTAGATAGGCATGAAAGAAAAATTTGAGAGGACACTTGGAGGTAGCAGGTAGCAAGATCTTGAAAGACTGTTTTTGGTAACCTAAGGAATTTGCAGTGTTAATCTTATGATGGAAAAATACTGAAAATTACTAATCTAAGAAGTTTAGGGGAGGAGAGCTATCGAATTTACTTTTAAAAAAGAATTATCTGAAGAACCAGAAATGACCACACGTACCCTGAGACCAGAAAAGCTAAATTTTACTATTAATAGTTATCCTGATAAGAGCCAGGTTAGATGGATCCTGATAAAATGAGAAGGAAACTATGGATTGGAACCTCAAATTTTTTAAAATTTGCACTTAAAATTTGAGATTAGAACACTCTGAGAATTTACCCCTGAGGTAATCTTAAAACTTTGAATAAAATTCATGTCCTGATGTTATAGTTTAGCTTAAAAAAACCAGATTGGTTTATGGAATAAAAATCTTGTCTACGATTGTGTGTTGCCCTTAAAAAATCATCTATATGAGACCAAATGTCAACAATTACTATAAAACAGAGACAGAAAGAGGTACTTTTGTTGTTGTTGATTGCCATCGAGTCAAGCACAACTTATGAATAAAAGGCCTGTGAATAAAAGGCCTGAAACCTTTCTATAACTATCAACATTTATCAAAGTTCATAGTTTCTAGAGACATGTTGTTTAGGAAATGGATGCCATTCCTGCTTCCAGTTACTAGAAATAAATCAACCAAAACAAAAATAAGAATGTTCACACATTGTGAATAATACATCCAGTATCACTGAACAATTTGTGTAGAAATTGTTTTTTGAGAACCTATTCTTGTATGTAAATTTTTCACAGCAGCACAATGCAGTATGATTTCAAAACAAAACAGAGGTTGTGTTAATTGATAACACTTGCCATGCATTCGCCTCAGTGAGAGGAAGATGTTTCCCAAATGGTATCATTTATTTCAGGTTACTGAAAAGAAGCATTTTGGTATTAAGAGGTGGGGGAAGAAGTGTGTTTAGCAAAAGTAAAGTTTAGTTTTGTATATTCTGAATCATGTGTTTGGTGAGATATCTATGGAAAAAAATCCGTGTGTAGGTTTGAAGCTCGTAATCATGTTTTGAGCCATAAATAACAAATTGTGATCAAAATAACATAGTTTGGATAATCTTAGATTTTTATTCCAAGTTGTTAAACATTACGTTCACTAATTTGTCTGCTACTTATCTTTTCCTTTTTATTTGCGAGCAAGTATTACATGAAGACCACAATCAAATCCCCTGTAGTTAATTTCAATTTATAATGAGTCTGTAGGACAGAACAGAATGGCCTTATCTTTCTCCTGTAGAAAGATGTTTAACTGCAGCTTCTGATCTTTATTGTATTAACCCAATACATAATTCACTCTACAGTATTTAATCTTGCATCCACAAATCTTCCCACAAGAATCCACGAGTGGAATTTGAGAAATGTATTTTCTCCAGCTTAGCACTGAAATTTAACCTTTTCTGAAATTATGAACATAGGGAACAACTCATTTATTAGCAGCTAGCAGTGCCTGTGAATTTTTTATTACCAATAGAAATCAAAGATTTTAAAATACTACTTTCAAATTTTAGTTTATTTTCTCATCACTTCTTTCTAATTATTGCCAATAGATATTTTGTTTTAACAAGGAAGGACACATGTTACAGAAGTATATGGGTGTATTTCATGTATTTCATGGCTTCTTTTTATTCTACACATTTTAAGTTTCCTTAATAATGTTTGGATAAAAGATCATTGAGTCAACTACAATGCATAGCCACCCTAAAAACAACAGATGAGAATCTTGTTCTTTACTGCTTCATCCTCAAGACCTCCACCATTCTCCAGCCTGTTTTTGGCAGTCAGAGTATCAGTCCCTTATTGAAGGTCTTTATCTCTGTGAACTTCCACGTTTACCAGCATGATTCCTTTTTCCAGAGACTAGCTTTTCCTGATAACATGCCCAAAGTATGTGAGATGAAGTTTCATCATCATTGCCTCCAGGTGCACCTTAGCTGCACTTCCTCCAGGACTGATTTGATTCTATTTTGGCAGTCTTTGGTGTCTTCAATACTTTTATTCAACACCACAATTCAAAGGCATAGATTTTTCGTTAGTCTTCCATATTTGTTGTACAACTTTTCAGATCCATAGGGAACATTTGAATACCATATCTTGACTCAGGTACACCTTGGTCTTAGACAGTCTTGGTCTTTGGTATATTCTTGAAAATAGATTTTCCCAGTGCAGATTGTCTTTTGATTTCTTAACTGCTGCTACCCATGGGTGTTGACAGAAAATCTTATTAACCAGATTTCTTGAGAGAACCATAGTACAGGAAAGATTAAGAAGCCCTGGCTAATGGGAAAGTGAGGAAGGTGGTTATTTAACCCTTGGACTAAAAAAAACTAAACATATTTATTATTTTCATTGCTTTTGTTTTTACAGAACTTCAAACATAAAACTAGACAAGATAATGAAAGAACTGGATGAAGAGGTAATTTCTTAAAATTTTTGTTAATTTTAGTGAAAATTTACAGACTTTGGATTTCCATTCATTCATTGTTGCACTTTTCTCCCTGCCCAACCTCCTCCCCCAGATGACTCTTTGAAAAGTAAAAGAAAAATTCTTTCATTGTTACACAATACCTCCCCCTAAGTCTGCTCCACTATGCAGCCTTCCTTTTGAAAAGTAAAATTGTTCAATAGTTATACAGTCCCTCCTTCCAAGTCCACTCCACTATGCAGCCTTTGTTTTCAAAAATAAAAGAAAAATTCTTTCATTGTTATACTAGCCTTCTCCACAAGTCCACTCCACTGTGCAGTCTTCATTCTGGACTCCTGTCATGACAGTATCTAATCATATATACCTTTTAAACAGTGCTCTCCCAATGCAGTATATATAACTTTCTATTTTTAGTCTCCCTTCAATCCTTACGTCAGTCTTGTTTTACAATGGTGACACTACAACAGTATTTGTCCTTTTGTTACTGAGATATTTCACTCAGCATAATATCCTCCAGGGTCACCCATTTTGTATAGTATTTCATGAGTTCCTTGTTTTTCCAATGCTGTATAGTATTCCATTGTGTGAATATACCACAGCTTCTCTAGCCGTTCATTTTTTGATTGGCGCTTAGGTTGTTTCCAGCTCTTTGCTGCTGTAAACAAAGCTGTGATAAACATGGATGTGCATATATCTGTTTAGGTGGCGGTTATGGTTTGGGGTATATTTCCAGTAGTGGAATTGCTGGGTCAAATGATATTTCTATTTGCAACTTTTGGAGAAAGCGCCACACTGCCTTTAAAGTAGTTGCACCATTTTACACTCCCTCCCACCAGCAGTGAATAAGGGTTCCAGTTTCTCCACAACCTCGCCAGCAGTGATTTCTAATCAGAAATTTTAAATTTTTAAATTATTCTATCTTTGAGATTGTTGTTTCCTAAAAAAATGCATTTAAACTCTACAAGATGACCAATAAAAACTGGACCATAGAAGTTATAATGACAGCTTCATGTTGGCTGGTTCAAATAAGGCAAAATAGAATCTATTTTTATTTCCTTGATGTACTTTTATTCTAAAACCAGGTTGGAATTTTAGTACCTAATTGTCATTACAGAAAAGAGGTAAATAGAGAAGAAGATATGATTTAGAATACCTCAGAAGGACCAATGTTGGTATCATCTCATGTAACCAAATGGGAAATACATTTTAAAATTATTACCATTTGCCATGTTCACCTGCCAGGAAGGTTTTATTATCACATAAACATAGCATAAACATTTCATAATTCATATGTTGATAAATATGTAATAGATCTTTGTTTATCTTAGTCAACTTGTAACTTTTAAACATTATTTCCTGAAAAGAAATACATTCTTTTCTTTTAGTGGTAGTTTTAGATATGCATATAAGTCATCTGGGAAGAGTAGGATAATATTTTACCAACTAATATTTTTTAGTTATTTGTTTATCACTATTTTTGTGACTAATTATTGGATAAATTAATTTTATTTATCCTCCATTTTTAGTTGATTTCTTTCTCTACTAGTTTATTTACAAAATGCAAATACAAATTTGAGTAAATTCTTTCAATTTCCCCCACCCATCAAATTGTACAACTCAATGATTAATGTCCCTTTCCCCCTGCACATCCACATCTCTCTACTTCCAGCCTCTCCCACCCCTCCTGGATCCTTAGACTCATTCTACAATAACCCTTTTATACAATATTTATCCTTATGTTTATGGTACTGTGTTAGTTCGCTCAGCATAATGCTACCCAGTCCCTCCCAATTATTTGTAATAATTTACAAAGTTATTGCTCCTGTGTGCAGCTTAGTATTCCATTTTGTGAAATAACCATAATTTCCCAATCCATTCGTTTGTGGTTAGACATTTGAGCTGTTTCCATGTTCTTCTGATGGTGATAATGCTGCTATGAACATTGGTGCACAAATCACAGTTTGTGCTTCAGTTCTCATATTCTCAGGGTATATTCCAGATAGTGGACTAGCTAGGTCATATGGAATTTCTATGTTCAGCTTTTTGAGGAAGTGCCAAACTGCCTTCCAGAATGGTTGTACCATTTTACAATCCCACCAACAATGTGTAAGAGTTTCTTTCTTGCCACTTCCACTCCAACATCTACTACTTGCTTCCCTGTTAAACTTTGCCACTCTTCCTGGAGTAAGATGATACCTTATGGTTTTTATTTGCATCTCTCTTATTGCCAGTGATTTGGAGTATTTTCTTCATGTGTCTGTTTGCCATTCGAATATCATCCTCTGTGAAAATTCTTTCTACGTCTTTTGCCCGTTTTGTAATTGGGTTATCAGTCTTTTTCTTGTGGAGGCCCAGGAGTATTCTGTAAACTTTTGTTATAGGACTCTTGTCTGAGATGGTATTACCAAATGTTTGTTCCCAGTCTGTAGGTTTTATTTTCACCCTGTTGGAAAAAGTTTTTGATGTGCTTAGAGATTTAATCTTTAGAAAGTCCCATGCATCAATTTTATCATCTTTAAATTATGCATTTCTAGTTGTATTTGGCTTTCTCTTGATACCTTGGACATGCTTGATACGAGGAAGTGCCGAACTTGATACTACCTTGATAGAAGCTTCTAAGCTTGATCCCGGTTTGCCTCTTAAGAACGTTATGGTTTTGGGCTTTGCCCCCAGGTATCTGATCCACCTTGAGTTGATTTTTGTGTATGGTGTGAGATGTGGATCCTGTTTCAGCTTTCTGCAGGTGAAAGTCCAGTTTTGCCAGCACCATTTGTTGAAGATGTTATCATTTTCCCATTTGATAGCTTTGATTTTCTTGTTGAGTATCAGTTGACTATAGATAGCTGGGTCTATTTCTGGGTTCTCAATTCTGTTCCATTGGTTGATGTTCCTATCATTGTACCAGTACCATGCTGTTTTGGTTACCACTGCTGTATAGTAGGTTTTGAGGTCAGGAAGTGCTATGCCTCCAACCTCATTTTTGTTTTCTCAGAACACTTTTTAGTTATTTCTAAATCATAAATAAAATTCAAGTATACGATTGTTGTTAGGTACCATCAAGTCAACCACAACATGCCAAAAGTTGTGAAGTTTCACCATTTTTGCTTCTAAAGGAGCCACTTTGTCCAAGGCAGATTTATTTTTTCTTTTGGCCATCCAGTGGAATATTTAGTACTTTTCTCCAAAATCACAATGCAAAAGCATCAGTTCTTCTGTCATCCTTCGTCACTTTCGAGCTTTCAGATCTTAGTAAGTAATAGAAAAGACCATGGATTGAATCAAGAGCACTGTAGTCTTTAAGCTGACATCATTGTTTCTTCGAACTTGCAAGAAGTCCTTGACAGCAGATTTTTCTTGATACTTACTATATCAAGTATACTAGATTAAAAGTTTTCAGATTTTCAGGATTATGTAGAGGTCTTAATTATAAATTTAGAATAGTGCTGCTTCCAGAATAATGGAGTAAAAATCATTGGACATTGAATTTAAGACAAAGAGAAATATCCTAAAAGTTACAGGGACAAAAGCATACCAGCTACAGCATTTGCCCAGAGGACTGACACAGGGATGAGTATCCTGAGGTTTCCTTTTTTTTGCATGTATTCCAGACTGTGTTCTGGAGAAGCTGGCCACATATAAACACAAGTATAGACAGGAAAAACACCACGGACACCCTGCTTCCCCTAGCCAGACAACCATTAAAGGGAGCAGGCGAGCATGTCAGAAAACAATCGCCCTCGACTCTGACAGAACACGAACCTGCAGCTCTTCTCCCAGCTAAGACTAAGAGAAACTCCTGCCTCTGTCAGGCTGTAATTTCTCTTCCCTGTCTCCTTCTCCTGTGCAGAACCAGTGCACAGACCAAACAGTCATTTGAACAGAGCAAGGGAATACTTTGCCAGAAATGGCAAAGGAGGTTGAGTTTTCAAGTATGGAAATACAAAGGAAGAGGAACAGTTGTAAGCAGACACTGGTGATTGGGACATGGAATGTGAGAACCATGAATGTAGGAAAATTAG